AGACTGAGCCTCCATCCTGGTGTCACAGACTTAGCTTTCATCCTAGTATCATACACTGAGACTCCATCCTGGTGTCATAGACTGGGCCTCCATCCTGGTGTCATAGACTGAACTCCATCCTGGTGTCATAGACTGAACCCCATCCTGATGTCATAGACTGAGTCTCCATCCTGGTGTCATAGACTGAGCCTCCATCTTGGTGTCATAGACTGAGGTGAAGGGAGTCCAGATGCCTAGGGAACAAAATGCATGCTTGGGAGAGTCACAAGGGCCTCTGGAAGGTAGGGGGTAGACAGGAATTTCTGGGGGAGCAGTGTGAGGTCTTCATGGAGGCAGCACTAGATCAGGAATGGGGAATCTCAAGCAGAGGGTCCTGCAGGCAGGTGCAAGGCACAGGAGGCAGATCTTGGCGAACATCAAGTACTGGGCCAAGAAATTGGGTCTTCTTCTTGACTATGGTGGGAGCCACTGCAGAGATTTGAGCAGACAGGGGTGATGAGCTCTAGCTGCAGAGTAAGGGTAGTGGGAGGAGGAAAAGGGCACCCATTCCTCCCACAGCAAGGACTTCAGTCAACACCAGCCCTGGGAGTAAGCCAGGACACCCTCCAGACCTAGAGGGCAAAGAAGGTGGGCAAGACTTGTCAAGCATCTCCTATATACCAGACCCAGAACTAATGTTTGATCCTTGCTTCATCTTCACAAAGCCCTCAAAGGTGGGCATCATCACATCCACTTCCCAGATGAAGAAACCGAGGCTCAGAGAGCTGCCTTCCCCAAAGTCACACAACCAGTAAGTGGAGGTCTGGCATCTTAGTTAATCAGCCTAATAACGTGTTTAGTGCTTCTGTTCTACCTCTTAGTTCATTGCATAGTTCCTGGGATCTTAAAAGCTTGCAAGTGACCATCCAAGGTACGACAATCGGTCTCTATTCACCTGGAGCAACAGAGGAAGAAGGAGAGTCAGGAACAGAAGGAGGAAATGGAATGACAGACTAATTCTCTCCATGAATAACTGTCTCCTTTGCCATGAGACCAGAAGAACTGGATAGTGCCTGGCTACCGTTACCAAATGTTTTGATCAAAGATTCTACAGAAGAATCCTGATCAAAAGGAGGAAAATGCACAACAGAGTTTCAAATTCTCATCCAATTCAGACTCTTTAGTCATAGATGCTGGATGAACCCCCAAAACTATTGCCCTGAGATACACTTTAAACCTTAATCAAAAAATATCCCCTGAAGTTTCCTTTAAACCGAACCATAGTTTAGCTTAAATAGTAAAGAATGTCTGCCTTGAGCATTGTGTTCTTTTAAAGAACTATCAATATGGGATCAAATTGATGACAGCAACTCGAAAGTTTAGATGAGAACCTTAGGGGTCAATGAATCATGTTAATGGTAGAGGAATAACTCAGAAAAGGAGGGTGAGAATCCTTGCACAAGTTGAAAAATAGAATCAGTGTCACTGAATTGCACATGTAGAAAATGTTGAATTCGTTTTTCATTCGCTATGTACATTTTCAACAACAAAAATAAAATTTTAGGAAGGAAGAGACATATTCTACTTGACCCCAAAGCCTCTCGTCTAGTCCATGCTGCCCAGAAGACATCAGAATTTGGGGATCTTCAGGCCCCAAAGTCGATAGGGAGATTCCACATACTGGGAGAGGAGGCAGCCTGAAGTTTCACCATTAGAGACTTTTCCCCAAATGTGGGCATTGGAAACTTTCCTTTGGTCCTATGGACTATTAGCACCATCTATCAAATGAGGGCTTTCTCCTAAGCAGCTATGATAAATAGATTTCATCTCATAAGCCAACTCCCATCAACTGATGATGACTGCCAGAAATGGTGTGCTGGGAAGAATCCCAAGGGGGAAAATGGCCCAGCAGGAAAGAGCCTCGTGATCAACTAGAAATATCTGCCACAGGCTCAGGGTGGGGAAGCGGTGGCATGTATGTTGGCTTAAAGATCATTGAGACCATCTTTCCCCCTTCCACCCCATTTTATAGTTGAGAAAACCAAAGTCCAAGAAGAGCAGCACCAGATACAGAACTCAGGCCCTGACTCCTCGATCCTTCCAGCTTACCCCTAACACCTTGTCCTTCCTTTCTCCACAGGCTCTGATTCCAAGCCATGTGTCCAGCCCTTTGACTCTGGGGCTGCAGCCTCAGCCACCAACAGCAGCAGTGGTTCCTGCCCTGGACACTGGAGGCGTGAGAACTCGGACTTCTTCTCCACCACGAGGGATGAGCAGGCAGGTGTCTGACTGCTGAGATGCGCAAGAGCTGATGACAACAGTGGCAGCGAGTACCATTTGTTTAGTACCTGCATTTTACCTAGCACTTTATGTACTTTATCACAATTAGCCCTCATAAAAATTTGGAAAAGTAGTTATTATCCTGTTTTTACAGATGAGGAAACTGGAATCCTTTCTGAAACGAGAAGGAGGATGGGTGGTAGAAATGGATGGACGGATGGACGGATGGATGAGTGGGTGGGTGGCGGAGGGTTGGATAGATGAGTGGATGGATGGATGAGTGGATGATGGATGAGTGGATGAATAGACAGAAGAGTGTGTAAATGGGTGGGTGGTGAGTGGGCAGATGGATGGATGATGGATTATGGGTGAATGGATGAAAAGGAGTAAGGAAAAAGAATGGGAGGAAAAGAGAAGGAAAGAAGGAAGGGAATGAAAGAGTGAAGAAAGAAAGGATAAGGGAAGGAGGGAGGGAGCGACGGAGGGAAGAAGGAAGGAAGGAAGGAAGGAAGACTAATTAAAACCAAATGCAACACAAAAAGGCAGAATGATTTGCCTAAGTTCCCATAGTGTCAGAGCCAGGAATCAAACCCAGTCTGACTCCATAGCCCACATCCTTACTGTTCTGCTCTAGCTATGCTTCTTCCAAGCACTTGACTCAGAAGCCCATGGATGAGGCCAGGCCCCAGGCTCCAGCCTCAAAGGGAAGACCTTGAAAGTTTAAGGTCCCCGAATGGGGTTGGGACATGGTTAAAGTCAGGTCTTTTGACGTGTAGCTGATGCTGGGGCTGAGGTCTCAGCAAAAGTCCTCATGATGACCTCCAGCCTGCTTCTGGGAAAGGTCTTGCTGGGGTGAGGGATGAGGCCCCCTCCATCAGGGAGGGCTGTTCTGAGAGGGAAGGGGCTGAGGAGGAGCCTTGTGAACACAGCTCAGCTCCAGCTCCACCAGGGACAGAGACAAGGAAGACCAAGTGTTGAACCCCAGGAAGCAGACTCTGAGATGGAGTTTAGCAAGCAGGATGCAGGGGAAGGAAGCAGGAATGGGCAGAGGGAGAAGTTGAGCTCCAGTGCAGTCCTGACAATGGCCTTGGCAACCACACAGGGCATTCTGGAGCTAGAGCAACCCTTCAGAGTGGTCCCAAGTCTTTGTCACTTCATGTCAATCATTTGCTGCATGTGACTACCCAGAAAGGGGCTGACAGCTGATGGCCGTGCGCAGACAGCCCTCCCAGCAGCTGTGGCAACATGTGCTTCATTGAAGGGGGATCTGAGTGGCATATTACAGTGTCCACTACACTAAGGGAGGAGGATCCATTATGGTTAAACCATAAAGGGCATCCTGTGGATCATTTTTTTTATAAATATATTGAGCTATCTCCATAGGAACATATAAGCACAAATTAATGAGTGATATATTTGCCCAAGAAATCAAAAGACGCATTGCATTGGGCAAATCTGTTGCAAAAGACCACTTCAAAGTTTTGAAAAGCAAAGATGTCACCTTGAAGACTAAGGTGCACCTGACCCAAGCCATGGTGTTTTCAATCGCCTCATACGCATGCGAAAGCTGGCCAATGAATAAGGAGGATCAAAGAAGGATTAAAGCCTTTGAATTGTGGTGTTGGCGAAGAATATCAAATATACTATGGACTACCAAAAGAACAAACAAATCTGTTTTAGTAGAAGTAAGACCAGAATGCTCATTAGAAGCAAGGATGGTGAGACTACATCTCACATACTTTGGACATGTTATCAGGAGGGATCAGTCCCTGGAGAAGGGCATCATGCTTGGTAAGGTAGGGGTCATCGAAAAAGAAGAAGACCTTCAATGAGATGGATTGACACAGTGGCTGCAACAATGGGCTCAAGCATAACAACGATTGTGAGGATGGTGCAGGACCCGGCAGTGTTTCGTTCTGTTGTACATAGGGTCACTGTGAGTCAGAATTGACTCGATGGCACCTAACAACTACGCATATTTTCTCAGTGACTACAGAATCATGCCTTCAGAAAGTGGATTCAATGTAACTGCAACCTAGATGTTTTTCCCCAAAATTTTTTCCTCGTTTTTTTAAGCAATAGCTGCCAATCCTCCGCACTACCAGTCCCTGATAGCCACTAATCTACTTTGTTCTCTATGTATATGCCTATTCTAGATATTTTGTTTAAGTGGAGTAATACAACATTTTTCTTTTTGTATCTGACTTGTTTCACTCAGCATGATGTTTTCAAGGTTCATCCATGTTATGGTATTTATCAGAACATCATTTCTCTTCACAGCTGAGTAGTATTCCACTGTGTGGATAAATGGTATTTTGTTTATCCATTCATCTATTGATGGACACTTTGGTTGTTTCTACCTTTCGGCTATTGTGGATAATGCTGCAATGAACACTGATGTATGAGTCTCTGAGTCTCTGCTTTTGAGCCTTTTGGGTATATACTTAGGAGCGGAATTGCTGGGTCATATGGCAATTCTATGAGCCTGGGTAGTGCAAGCAGTTTCCTGTTGGCTGCACTTCCAAAGGTTGGTGGTTCAAACCCACCCAGTGGCACCTTGGAAGAAAGACCTGAGGAACTGCTCCCATAAAAATTACAGCCAAGAAAACTCTAAGGAGCAGTTCTACTCTGTAACACACGGGGTCACCATGAGTTGGGGACTGACTCGATGGCGGCTAACAAAGACAACATGGTAGTTCTATGTTTAACTGTTTGAGGAACTTGTGTGCCATTTTATAGAAGAGGGTACTGAGGCCCAAGCAGGGAAAGAATTGGTCCAGGTGTCATGGAGCTTCCGACGGAAACGAAGGTAGAACTAGGACTCAAGTGCAGTTCTGGGCCTTGCCAGGGGTCTGGACCTCATTGGGGTAGATGAGTTGATGAGGGATGCAGGGAGATGGGCAGATTTGGGGGGCAGAGACCCACCCTGTACTCCCAGGGCCTTGGAGAAACACAGGGCTCTGGGAGTACGGGTGAGTCTCTGCCCCCTAAACCTGCCCTTCTCCCTGCATCCCTGCCATGATCATATGCTTGGTCACCAGAGCCAGAGACTCGGGCATCATCCTCGCCCCCTCCCTCTCCCATAGTCACCAAGCCCTCCAGTCTGTCCACATGTCTCCCTCCTTCTGCCACTGTCCTAGTGGAGGCTACCGTGGTGTCCTTGCTGGTCAACCAGCCTTCACTTACCCCTGTCCAAGCCAGTCTCCACTCTGCAACTTGAGTATTTCTACTCACAGCCCCCTACACTCCCGGCCAAGACCCTGGTGTGGAAAACAGTTTGTGCTTGACTGCCAACCGAAAGGTTGGTAGTTCGAACTCACCCAACAGCACCATGGAAGAAAGTCCTGGTGATCTGTTTCCATAATGATTGTTGTTGTTCTTAGTTGCTGTAGAATCAGTTCTGACTCATGGTGACCCCATGTGTGTCAGAGTAGAACTGCTCCATAGGATTTTCAAGGCTGTTCTCTTCCGGAAGCAGATCACCAGGTCTTTTTTCCAAGGCTCCTCTGGGTGGGTTCGAACTGCCAACCTTCCAGTTAGTAGTCCAGCGCACATCCAAGAAAACGTTATAGAGTTCAGTTCTACCTTGCAACACGTGGGATTGCCATGAGTGGGAATCGACTGGACAACAATGCGTTTGGTTTTGGATTTTTACCGTTCCTACTACCACTATGGAGCCCTGGTGGTGCAGTGGTTAAGAGCCTGGCTGCTAATCAAGAGGTCGGCAATTCGAATCCACCAGCCGCTCCTTGGAAACCCTATGGAGTGGTTCTACTCTGTCCTATAGGGTCACTATGAGTCGAAATAGGCTCGACGGCAATGGGTTACCACCACTGTTGGAAATGTAGAGATTAGGTCTTTACATGGCCTGGTAGGTCTGGTCCCAAAGGAGATCTGGTCTCCACCTCCACCCTCCACACCTCCAGCCATCAGGAGCGTTTCCCAGTTGCTCCAGGGCACCATAAGCTCTCGAGTCTGGAGCCTCCAGCACACTGTTCTTTTTTGCCTGGAATGTTTCCACGTTTGTTCTCTGCCCAGCCAACTCCTACTCATCCTTCTACTCACTGGCACTTCCTCTAGGAAGCCCTCTTGGACACCTCCTAAACAATGTTAGCTGTCCCCCTCCTCAGTATTTCCCCAGCACACTGCCTGGAACATTTTATCATACTTGATTACAATTTCTGAGTTTAATCGTTCATCTTCTGCAATTAATTAGCTATATGAAGATAAGGAAGTCCCTGGGTGGTGCAAACTGTTTGCACTTGGCTGTTAATCTAAAGGCTGGTGGTTCATATCCATCCAGCGGTGCCACAAAAGAAAGGCCTGGATCTCTGCTTCTATAAAGATTATAGCTCAGAAAACCCTATGGAGCAGATCCACTCTGTAACACATGGGGTCACCATGAGTCGGAATCGACTCAACAGCAATGGGTTTAGTTTGGTTTTAGATGAGAGTAAGGATGGGGCATTCGTGATTCACTGGTAGAGTTCTTGCCTTCCATGGGTGAACCCTGAGTTCAATTCCTGGCCAAGACACCTCATGATCAGCCATCGCCCATCTCTCTGTGGAGGCTTGCATGTTGCTGTGATGCTGAACAGGTTTCAGAGGAGCTTCTAGACTAAGACAGACTAGGAAGAAAGGCCTGGTGATCTACATTCAAAAATCAGCCAGCAAAAACTCTGTGAATCACAATGGTCCTATCCACAACCGATTATGGGGATGGCACAGGACCAGTCAGAGTTTTGTTCTGTTGTGTGCGGGGTTGTTGTCGGTCGGCAGCCGACTCGGCATCTACAATAACACGGATATGAGGGCAAGGGGCTATGTGACTCAGTCTAGGGCTATCACTGACTCGCTCAGAGGAAGGGCCCTGACTCTTGCCCAGAACTGAAATACAAGAAAAAAACAAAAATCAAACCTATTCCATCAAGTCAATTCCAACTCATAGTGACCCTATAGGACAGAGTAGAACTGCCCCGAGGGGTTTCCTAGCCTGT